AACACTTTGAATCTTGAATCTTAGTTTCACAGCTTAATGGTCATCATAACTTTCTTTTCATCTTTACAAGGTAATAGAGTTATTAAATATCATAGGTAGTAAATATTTCAGTGTATTACATTTAAACAGCAATAATTTCCTACATAGAAAAACTACTAGTGCCCACCAAGGACATGTTTTTTTTTCTACTTAATATAAAAGTGTCATATAATGATATTATTCCTACAGCAACGCCATGACTTTAAGCTCCTTGACACACACAACAATGAGACATGTCGAGGCATACTGTATATGAGAGCAAGAGCTGTATGTAAGACTCCAGTGACAATTTAGTCAAACTGGAGCTCCAACAAAGCCAAATATTCAAGAAGACTGTTCCTGCTTAAGGTGGAAACAACAAACTTGTTTCACCACTTGAGGGAAAAACACAGTGAAGTACTACCAGACTATAAAGGAAGAGATTCAAGCAGCTGGTGATGTGAAACCCAAAAATAATTATGACACCTTGTTTCAGTGGATTCACACTTTGAATTAGGTAGTACATCATCAGTGACAGGAACTCGATGCAAAAGAAGGGAAAAGAATGCCCTTCATTTACTTATAGTTATAAATACACCTGACTGCAAGCATCAATAAAACATTTAGTATGTTGTTTTTTTCATCATAAATATCATTACTGCAAACTGTCTTGAAATACTCAGCATCTCAAACTGAGTGGCTTGGAGACACTGTTCGAGTGACAAGGCTGAGGTGGTTTGGACATGTGCAGAGGACAGATAGTGGATATATCGGATAAAAGGTTTTGCACACAGAGCTGCCAAGCAAGGAGAAAAAGAGGAAGACCACAGAAGACTTTTATGGATGCAATGAAGGACCTGCAGATGGCTACTGTAACAGAGGAAGAGGAGGATGCAAGGAATAGGGTGAGATGGCGATAGATGATCCCCTGTGGTTTCCCCCTACAGGGAGCAACCTGAAGAAGAAGCAGCAGCAAATGTTCTTGAAACATCATGATATAATTTTTAAGGGCATATCACCCACCCCCAATTTAAACTGAATAGATCTGTACTAATTCAGATGAATTTTAGTCTACAATAACACTGCACTTTGCAAGTTCTCATCAACACCCACAAGAAGCCTAAAACAAGTATTTATATGCAAATGCCTTCAACACATTCACTCCTGCATGCTGTTTCAATACTGCAGTGCTATGAGACAGATACCATATAGAAGGATTTCACTTTGACTGTAACTGTATTTTTTGATTATTAAAGTTTTGCACCCTCAAATTGCATTTTAAATGTCTTTAAATAATCTGTAGTCACTATTTTTCCTCTATAAAACTAACACAATGCGGATCAACGAGGTTTAAAGAAGATGGTAAGCTGTCTAAATGGGCACTTGTTGTTATTACTATAAAACAGAGTGTACCTCCACGTGTATTAGACATCGTGAGATGATAACCTGGGACAAAAAGGTCGTGGTCTGCTGAACCCTACTTTCTGATGATGTTCGAAAGTTTTTAGCACGACAAACGGTAACTCAGTAACATTAACAGTAACATATGGACTGACCGCCTGTCTAGGTAGAGCTCACCTCTTCCGCAGATTACAGTTACTGTGCCTAGTCAGGTTTATCAGTTCAGCACCTTACAGCTTTAACTCTGACCACTTTACGAAGACTACTTCCCAGCTAGTCACCTTTACGCTGTTCTGAGAGAATCACATCACCCGTTAGCCGTGTTAGTGCGCAGAAGATGAGCTGCTTGACGGTTTTGTGCTAACTAGCTAGCAGGTGGAGCTAGCAGCCCTGACCGCCCTGCTGGTGCTGCTGCTGCTAAGCTGAGCTGTCATGGGGTCACCAAGGCTCGATTTCAACTTTAATTTCATAAACTCAAATGAGGATTTCAGGTATTCTCAACCTAAATAATATTTACAAACGATAAAGACGGCTGTCGTACCTGTTTGACGAGAAGTAATGTGTATTTTGAGTTATAAAATTGCTTCTACGAAACCAATGCCAGTTCCTCAGTAAATAGTAAACGTTTTCTTCTTTTTCCTAAAACGGCTGCTGCGAGCTGTATCACTCCGTCGGCGCCACCGTTCGGTCAGGAATGATTATTGCGTTGGGGAATTTCTTAATTCACTTAAAATAACAAAATAATATTTTATTTTTTGCCATCTATAAGTTAAAAAAAATTGAGTCATTATGACCTTAAAATTGGAATTTCAAGTTTTCTCAATTCCAACTTATTTTCTCAGACATTTGGGTTAGTAAGTTAAACTATATATATATACGGGTGGCTGTAGCTCAGGTGGAGGTCAGCCACTAATCAGAAGGTTGGTGGTTCGATCCCAGGCTGCCTCCTGGCTGCATACCAAATATCCTTGGGCAAGATACTAACCCCATGTTTGCCTACTGGTGGTGGTCAGAGGGCC